TGGCTCCTTTGACTCCTGGCTGATCCTTGCCTTTGCCCTTTCCTTTGCCCTTGCCATTCTTTTTCCACTTGGTCGAATCATCGGTCTTTTTGGCATCATCTGTCCACTTCCGCTTGTTATCATCGGTTTCTCCACCTTTCAACGGCAACAAGTGGAAGCTGATGCTGGGATCCTGAAGAATGTTCTCAAGGGCTCGATCCAGAGGCAAAGCCCCATCAGGCTGACGCTTGATCGAGGGTAGGCTTTCGGCAATGCGAGTGAAAGCTGCCCTGTCTGCCCTAAGCACTTGTGCCACCGAAATCTTTACGTAAGTAGGCGGTGGCAACTCCTGCAGTCGATGGATCAACGACGAGTGATACCGATTCATGGTGTCATAACTGGCGCACTTGACTAAATCAAATGCTAAGGCTCGCCGCCTCAGAGCCTGCGTAAGCTCAAGCTCGGTCCCTGTCGTGCAGGTTTGATGAGGCACCTTGTCTCTCACCGTCACACTGTTCCCGTCGATGGTGAGCTCCTTCCCGGGCTTCTTACCCTGAAGTTCGGACTGTCGGGTCGGAAACCTGTCTGGCCCTAAGTACGTCAAGGAATCCGCGGACAACATGGCGTACACCAAGTCGTAAGAGGCATGGCTAGGCTCTTCGACTCCACGATGCAAAAGGCCTGTGATCCTTGCACGCTGCTCTGTGATGCGCTCTTCCCTCTCTGCTGTGGCAAGCGTCGAAGGTGCCCCAGAATCCCCCCTCTGAACCCGAGTTTTTAACTCTTGGACTACGAGGGTATGGGCCTCAAAGATCGAGCGCTTTGCTGCAGCCATCGTCCCTGCCGTGATGGGCGTTGCCCCGAAGAGCCGCTGTACCTGATCGTCGCTCGGTGACTGGCCCGGCGGAACTGTTGCAAAAGCTAATTTGGAAAGCGTATCCACTCCGGTCCCCGTCATCGTGGCCACATTGGCTTGAGTCAAGCCAATCTCTTTAGCCCTTGATGCGAAGGCCGCTGTAGATTCCGTTAACGAGCCCATGATCCCTCACCAAGTCACCAGCACAGACTACCGAGCACAAGTTATGTCAAAACATGAAGTCACATGTCAGTTCTCAACTCGCTCCTAACATGTGTCTCCGTCATGTCTCTACTCATTCGAAAAGCACACTCATGCCTGTTCACCAATGGTCTCCACTTGAGCAAAACTTCGAGCATAACATAGCTCCTCAGAAACTTGCACTCGCAACCGGACTTGACTACCAGATGAACTTCATCTGCTCTTCAAGCGCACTTCGCTTTCTTTTGCCCCACGTGGACAAACTCGATCACTTCTCTTTACAGTTCATGATCTGCTGCAGCGCGACATTCAAGCTGCCAACATCTCTAACAGGACGACCCGAATCGCACTGCTTGCACTTCCGCAACTCAAGGAAAGGCACACCACTGACTTCTACATGATCATTGGTGAGGGCCCTCCCACAAATAAAAAGCCCATCTGAACTCCCAGCACTCATGAGATGCACAACACCAGTCCTAGAATGTTTGTACATGGTGGCCTCAGGCCTCCAGGTGCTAGGCTTGCTCGCTGGATGTCGGAAGTCCTCGCCCTTGACCCATTCATCTCCGGACTCAGACTCCGACTCACTGGAGCTGTCGCTCGATTCACTCTCGCAGTCCTGTTCTCCGCAAGCTGCAGAGACCTCTGAAGGATTGGCAACAGCATCGACCTTCTCGAACGACTCAGTGGTCCTGCCTAACGATCTCTCCTCATCAGAAGCCGCACTCACAGGCACGATCGGTGATGCAGTTTCATCTTCTGATACTTCGACTTTAACAATCGGACGATCGGCGAACCGTCCCGATCTGCTCAAGTCAGGCATGAACACACCTCGCCTGATGCTTCCTAACATTTCGGTGTATTTCAAGAGGGCTGGCGCAAGGTTGTCGCGCCCATAAGCATCCAAGGATCCGTCGCCACTGCTGTGGTGTCCTAATCGCAGGCGGGTATGCTTATCCATTCCAAACTTAGAGCACCAGCTCAAAGAAGTCCCCTTGATGGCATGCGAAGTCGACGACTCAGGCACATCACACCCGGCCTTGTCAAGTAACGCACGCATCCACTTGGTGACCTCTCCTGAATCGACGCATCGTCGAGTCCAGCCCCCCTTCTGATCAGGCGCAGGTAGCACGGGTCCTACTCGGGTGGAACTAAAACCCAAACCTACCTCATCTGCAACCTTGGCCCATGTCACAGCCCAAGCCGAAGATGTAACACCCCGCGCGGGCGCCACCAAAGGCATGCTGAAGCCTGTATGCGCCACAGCATTGGCCGTCTTGTGATCTCGGGTCTTGCACTCAATGAAACCTTCGCCTCCGCTTACAAGTTCACTGAAGTCAAGGAACCAACCGAAAGTCTTTCGCAAATCCGAAACCCGGCTCCTGGAAAAGATCCCAAACAAGATGGCACCGCAGGCATAACGATCAAAGCTATTGACCGATTCATCTTCAAGCAAACGTTCCAGGGCTGCAACATATGACACAAGCAGGACTGTGGCCTGCTTCCGCTCTGCCTTGGTCAACTGTGCCTGACCAATAAGACCTTTACTCCAATGGCTCCACACAGTGCTTTGCTTTGGTCCTATGATGGACTCATCGACAGCAATGCCGACCACATGTATTGCAAAATTCACACACTCCTGGAAACTGGTGAAAGCCCCGGCTGGCCGCTTCTCTCTCTTCAGGTGCTTCAAGTATCCATCCAGATGCGAGGACTTGAAAGGGAAAAGGTCACTGCCCCTGCATTCCTTTCGCCCCCATGAGAGGTATCCCATGAGGGCCGATCCCCTTTTCATGACTGTACTGCCACTCTTTCGCCCAAAGAGTTCACGCAAAGTTTCAATTGCGTCATCAGTTTTTTGGATGGCAACCGTTTCTCCGATATATGACGAACCAGGGCACTCAGTAAGAATGACCAGCCACTTCTCAAGAGCACGTCGCCATTGAGCCTCCTCCTTTTCCTCGTAACTGTCGTAGGCCCTTGAAGAAATAGCAACCCTGAAACACTCCCCACTCTCAGGCATCTGTCGCGCACGCTTTGCCGGTGGCTCGGCAACAAGGTCTGAAGGCTGGATACTGGAGCTGGACACAGCAGGCACTGGTATGTGCTTCGGGAGACCTGCCAAAAGCTTTGTTACTGAATCATCTTCTCCAAAGACCAAACTCATGCTCTCCTGCTCCCAAGGCAAAGGAATGTCTACTACACTCCTTCCCAGAGCAAGCACGGAATCCCCCAAAGCATCGTTAAGCAAGCTGCTGTCAGCACAATTGACCACTTCCCTTGCAGACTCTCGATCGCGCACACAAGCTTCTCGCTGCTCACTATCTATTTCTGATGGCACGAAAGCATCAAGATGTGAAGGCAAAGGCCGCCCTGTCCCTGCCTCCTCAAGCTCCTCGCAAAGACGCTCAAGATGCTTATCAAACCCCAACTCACTTTCAGCAGGCAGCGGCTTGCCGGTGCACGCATCAGACTCTTCAACACCTGGGGCTTCCTGACCCTGCCCCCGTAGCTCTGAAGCCACAGGAGAGAAGTCAGGAGCTGCTTCCATCTGCCTCCTAAGGAGGCGTGCACGGAGCCCTAGAGGCAACGTCGAAAAGGGCCAGGTTGAAAGTCGAACCTGTTACGCCTCGGGGTCCCCGTTCGACACAAAACTTTTTTCCGGACTTATGCCGGAAATTTTTTTCTTACCCTCCCACCACCCTGTGGAGCCAACTGACGGCATGGTAAAGATTCATGGAGATTCCTCAAACATGAACTGTCATGTCATGGGTTAAGAGAACTTCAACAAAAGATCACGCCCTAAATTTTGAGTTTGTTTGACAAACCAAAATTTTTGACACAGGGGAAAATAAAGCTTCATCCGCTGTTCGCGGAGTTGCGTCGTTCACAGCGAAGTCTACAAACCCATCTGCAACTGGAAAGACCTCTTGCCAACCACCACCTTTGTTGACGGGTTGGCTCTCCGGGAAGCTAGGGTGTTGATGGATAGGGATCTCATGAGCCTCAGTGGCCTCCTCCTCCTCCTGTACTTGAGACAGACGCGGGGCCTGGAGATAGGCGGAGCCTGGGAGAGGAAATCCCAAATCTGCTAAGCCGTCAAGGTCATCTTTTTCGGCCTTTCCAAGCACGTCGGAAGTGTAGCCTATAACAACGACGCGGGTGCCCTTGAAGGGAGTTACGAAATGATGCCGCTTAGGATCAAACTCGAAAATTTCATCCTCTTCAAGTCTGTGCACCACACCGTGACGCTTGCGACCTCGTGCATCAGTGTGCTCTACAATAGACCCCCTAACAACATCCCCACTACCTAACTCAACCCAAAGATCGCCCCCACACTTAGGAAGACACACTGGTAGGATGAGATTTGTAGTTCCCGGAAGGTTGGAAGAATCATTGTGAATGTCCTTTTGACACGAGTTGGACAGACACACCGACGTGAAGGTAGCATCAGGTGCATGATGCTGCAACAGGCGCGCGCACAGTGAGGCAAGCCACGGCTTACTCCAAGTCGATCGCATACAGCCTACTATCCCTCCCCTACGGAACATTCCAGCTTGATACTGCTCTTCGGGGTAGGCTTGGCAAACCTGCATGAGGAGATTCTTGGCAGCCTCAGGATCCCATTCCTGCAGCAAAGTCTTTGCGCCAGCTTCAAGCTCAGACCACGTCCATGAGCCGAGCTGGGCAGCTCTCAGCTCTGCTTCTGGCAGGGACTTTCCTACAACGCGACGCCTTACAGGGACAGACTCGCCCTCAAACTGCTCAGGGCACTCAGGAGGCTCAACAACCTTAGTTCTCACGTGCAGCGACTGTGTGAACCCATTGCCTTTGCCATCATCCCTGTACACCAAATGACCTTCATTAACCGTTGGAGATAAACCCGCATACCGACCTGAAATCCACCGTTCGGCAATCTCGCCCTTAGCAGCTGCAACAGACGTGTAGGCCTTCACGCGCACCAGGCACTTAGCACCAAAGGCGCTGCAAGCTTCGTGGCCATACCTAGTACCTCAGACCTCTGCTGTGCTGCAGCAGCTCGCATTGCACATGCCCACAGGGGCGGCGGGAAATCAGCAGCTCGCAGTATAGTTCGTGCCCGAGTCTTAAGCCACCTGATGGTGCGCTCTGCTGAGCCGTTTTGGGCTGGCGCATCACCCTCAGTTGTGGTGACCCTCACGAGCTGATTTGCAACCCACTTGCGAGTGGCCTTATTCATGAACTCACGCGACCTATCGGTATGCAAACGCAAGACTGGAAGATTGAGTGCCCGCAAGTAGAGGTAAATTTCTTAAAGGGCTTCAAGGACGGAAGGCGACTTATTGTCAAACAGCGGAACGCAGAACATGAGCCTGTCAGACTGCACTGGCTCCTTGAGGTCTGAGTACTCAAACTCCCAATCCCCTTCTTGAGGACCGCGATTCGGGAGTGCCTCCTCCTCGTCGTCAGCTTCCTCCTCCTGAGCCTCTTCTCCATCTTCCTCCTCCTCTGCTTCTTGGCTCTCGGCCTCCTCTTTAGAGGGGCTGTAACCGTCGTCCGGAGCATGTGGCGGAGGCGGAAGAGGTGGGGCATCATCTTCACTAAGATTCTCTAAGATATCCCTCGCTTCTTCTTCAGTTAGCCCTGTACCTGCACCCTCAAGGAAATCGTCCAGCGGCTCCTCCTTGGAGAGATCTACCTCATCTAAGGGATGTGGAATTTCGGGCATGCCGTGCAAACGAGGAAAGCGATACGAAGCAGCTAGAAAATACTTGAACTTCTTCGGCGCCTTTGACCTACCTTCCGGGTCAACACCTGGCACCTTCAGGGGTCCACAGACATCCGCAAACAGAGTGAACTGTGAGGGGTGAGTCACACCAACATGGCGGCGTCCTGAGGCGGCAGTTCTTATGCACACACTACAGTCCTTCCGAAACGGTTGGTGATTATTCTTCACATGATCTCTCCAAGCCTGTTCGTCTGCCTTTGTCTTGGCAATGCGGAACCATCTAGACCAGTTTTGGATGCTCATGCTCACGGCTTGGGCAAAACCAGGGGCCCATCGAGCTGACTCATGGGACTTGCGATGCAAATGAGGCATGCCACTGCTCTCACTCTCAGGCTCTGCAGCGGCTGCCTGCACAGTGACACCACGCAAACCCTTGTCAAGGCTTAGGGTCTCTAGGTACTGCAAATCACCATAGTTCGTGCCTAAGGTCGTAGGCCTACTTATCACATGCTCTAAATCCCCCTTGTAGACATGAACTTCAAACAACCCTGCTTCATCGGAATAGGAATTCCAAAGTCCAGTATTCCAAAAACTAGGGACCTGACCAAACAAGGCATGCGAAGGAGGCACGTAGCGATCAATAAGCATCGGGTGCTCAAGCAGAAAGCCAACCTCAAGCCTAGTAACTACAGCTGGCGGCCTAACCTTGCGACCTGCCGTCGCCACAGCATGCAACCAAATCTGTCGGCAAAGCAAAGCCGTTTCACGATCAACCTTCGACCGTTGTGCTGCTGACAAATCTGCAAGGCCATATAAGTCCAATGGCCCGCGCACAGGTGGGACAACGCTACTCCCATGAGCATGTGTGTCAAACGTACCACGCGGTGGAGCACCAAGAAGATGCGACACTTTGCCATGCACGGCACCCCAACCTAGAGCGCGCCAAGCAGGAGTGCGTAGCACATCTTGGTCTGAGCCTCTGGTAATGTCCAATTCCAGGACAGCCACATTCTTGGACTCAAGGTGCGAAAAGGGTTTAGGGCCTGGGGCTCCAGCGTACAGATGAACAATCCACTCTGGGGCATTGAGCAATGCACGACGGCGACGCCGATTGAGATGCGTCAAACCCTTTAGGAGCTCCCATCCTGAAACCTGGGCAACATCCTCAACAAGTCCCTGCAAAGCTGCTTGGGGAACATCTGCCAAGAAAGGCGCGGCCTGCAACGCTAGTTGGGCTGAATTGGTAGATCCAAGGCTCACATAGTCCTGCATGTGATCCCACCAGCTCTTTGACATCAAGGCTTTGACAGCTCGGATGCGAGAGGTACCTTCGGCCACATTCGCCTCCAGAGACTTCAAGTCCTCTAGACTCTAGCCGCTTTTCTTCCAGCTTGCTGATTAGCACCAAGGCTTCTGATTCCATGATCTCTGGACACCCACCTTTAACCCTCAAGCGAAAGGCACGACCCGAAGGAGCAATCAAACGGCATCGCGAGGCAGTCCAATCCAAACGATACCCCAGCTGCTGGATGACAGAACCCAGCGGCACGATGGTTTGGGCATTGGATGTGGGAGGCAACAGAAGAGTACCAGCAGCAGACAAACGCATAGCCGAAGTTTCCTTTCCAGCCAGTGACACGACAACGGGTTGCGCACTAGCCCATTCAGCTTCGGAACTTGCAGCGCGAAGGGCATGAGTGGCCCCACTGTCTACCAAAGCCAAAACACTAGGACTACCATCTACTTCCAAAACCTGCCCAGGCTCAATGGCTGTGAGATGGATGGTCTTGATGCTCGGCTTAGGCTCCTCCTGCGCTTCAGGTTTGTCTTCAATCGCCGGAGGCTGCGCGGGAGCGGCTGGGGTGGATGCAGGAGGAAAGGCTTCGGAAGAACTGGCAGCTGCAAACATCATGCGCATAAACGCTGTGAAGTCCTCCGCTCGGCCTGGGCTCGCGCCCGGCTGGATTGCAGTAGACGCCTGATCAGCCTTTGTAGGCCTGTGGCCTGCAGCATTGTTGGTGTTTCCTCCACCTGGCTGTCCTTTCCCCTTTGGGCTTCCTCCAGCTACCGGGCAGTCCTTTTGGCGGTGTGCCTCAGAGCCACATGCTAAGCACTTTTTGCTGCGCTCCTGACGAGAAAGTCCTGACATGTCGTGGCTAAACGTGCACTTAGGCCCCCGCCTACACCCCGAAGTACCCATGAAAAACTTGCAGGGCTTTGAAGCCTGCGGCTGCCCACTGGCCTTTGGAGATGTTCCCGGACTGGGCGTGCCTACATCTCGAACCTTAGGGGCACTCACACCTGTGGCCTTAGAGACTGCAAGGGCTTCCATCTCTGCAAGCAAGTGCTTGTGGTACTCCAGGACTGCAGACGAAGTTGGTTGAGCATCCATTTTTAACATGGAACGAAGCATAAACGTTCGAAACTTCGCTTCTTCATGCTGCGCCAAAACTTGGCTAGTGATGGTAGTGAGGCTCTTGGACAAAATGGTCGAGTCCGGAGGTGACATGTTGCAACTTTCACAGCGATTGTACCAACGAATCCACTCACGCGAAGACTTCACGGCTGAGGAGGGATCAGATGCTGGAGTGGGCTGCATGAGATTCTTCTGAATAACCTCCTTTTCTGAACCTCCACCTGGTTGGTACGTGGTGTGCAAACGGAAAAGGATGGAAGGAGCTGATTGATTGCATTTGCGGGCCACAATGTCTGCTTTGATAGACTCGGGAACTGCCGCCATAAGCATACTACAGATCCTAAAGTTGACACGCGCCCATCGCCCTTGAAGCAACTCAGCCGGTACAACTGGCTCAACCTTTAGCCTATCCAAGGGTGATGACGAAATCCAAACCCCATAGGCCGTATCAACCACACCCAAAACCTGACGCCACCACTCTGCTGCTGTGTCCGAAACATCACCGACCCAACCCCCAATCACGACTAACCAATCTTGGTACAGAAGAGACCCTTCATCCGAAGTGAGCTCTGCCAAAGCTGGGAAACTCGAGATGCCTGGCTTAACAGCTTCAGGGTTGGTGGGAGAATTGCCGCCATCGCGTTCGGCACGCGATCCCTTGAGCATCTCTGACATGGCATCTTGAAGTTGATGCATCCCAGCAATCAGTATCTCACGATCTGTGGGTCCTGATGCACTCGCGGCTCCTGCTGGCAGTGTGCCTCTGGGCTCTGCTTGTGGCCTCTGCGGTGCAGGGCTGGAAGACCGCGCACCGGAACCAAGGAGCCCTGAGAACAAACCAGCGAAGCCCTGAGGCTCGGGAGCGGAAGGAGGCGGAGGAGGAGGCGGTGAGGATGAAGAAGGGGCAAATCCAACCCCAGGGTTGGCGACAGGATGCGAACCGAACCCACTATCACCAAACCCACTAAAGCCAACCTCCCTAGTACCCACCTGCTGCAACGCCGTAGCCTCAACTTCACCAGCCTGCTGAGACCGAATCCTCGAGAGTTCGGCCTCAGCACGACCAGCTCTTTCTTGCTCAGCTCGCAATTGCTGCTTCAACCCATCCAGCTGTCGCGCGACTTCTGCCTGAATCGCATCATGCGGAATAGATGAGGACTCGGTGTGCGGAGGCCTGTCCGGTGACCCGGACCCGTAGAGCAAGGGAGCTCTTTGCTCCATGGCAGCAAGCTGCTGCGCGTTGGCACCAGTGAACAACGGCATCGGCACCTGACACTCATCTTGCAGGACGCGGCCTCCTCTCTCGAGGGGCTGTAGTGGTCGCGACGGCCTTGGAGGAGAAGTCAGTGGACTGGGAGCCCACCCTTGCGGCAGTGGCTGTACGTTCGCCGCGCCACCAAACAGAGACTGCACTCTTCCTAGCAACTGACTAGCAAAAGCCTGAGCCCCAGTCTGCATGACCGCTGACGCCCCGTACGCCGTTGATCTGGGCGTTTAAAAGCCCTCAGCACTACTTCCAGGATTCGCTGCAGATGGGTTGTACCCTGAGACGCCTGCGGCAACATTGATCTGAGCGCTAGCCATTCCACTTTCGGTGGCCACACTGAAACCCTGAGTCATTGCAGTTGCATCTCCATGCACCCCACTCGCATCAGCGACCTCCGTGGTAGATACTGCTTCATACGTAACGCCAGCTGTGCCCAAGCCTCCAACCTGGCCTAGTGTTCCATCGCCTCCTGTCCTACCGACTGCTGAAACTCCCGGTTGGCCGGCTGTTCCAACAGTTTCTTGTGGCAGCTGAGGGGATGGCACTGGACCAGCTGTGGAAGTCGATGGCCCCGACGACGCATCCATCATAGTTTGCTGGATTCCATCCCCAATAGGCTGCGCAAGCCCAGAGGGCGATGGCCCTCCAACTCCGGCGGTTGTACCATTCACTGTAGTCTGCGGTGCATCCCCGCCTCCCCGCACTCCAGGCAGAGAGGCCGGAGAAGCCACCGCTCCGGTTGCTTCTGGCCCAGGCGTTGGGCTCATCACCTGTTGAAGGTGTTCACCCTGGGTGGCCATACCCTTCAGCGAAGCTCACGCAGAATGTTTTCTATGGCTGGGCGCAGAGGCGACTCACGATCTCAACGAAGCAACAAGAGAACCGACAAACCAACAAACGACCTGTACAGCTTTACAAGTTGTTGGTTACAGTACACATGGCTCAAGAGGCTTTCCTACGCAGCCTTCCCCTCAGCCAAAGGATACAGGAAACACACATGTACAAGCCTACCTGAAGGAAACTATACAAGTGCCGGCAATCCCTTCAAGCAGACTACACACCTGTCTAACCTGATACCTGGGCATGCAGTGAGAAGCATTTCAACATGACCCCTAACTAAACCCGCACTTTTCCTAAGCGTTTCCTCGGCCATGGCTGCCGGGCGGTACTTATTCTTAAAGGCGTTAGATCGGGGCAAGGGTCCGGTTAAGTCAAAACCGTTTGACAGATCAGAAATCAAGTCCTCGTCCTCGTGTCCCACACTGTCAAGCATTTCCTTCATCAAGAGCAGCCGCTTGTTGCACAACACTTGACGTCGATGGGAGCTGAAGGATCCCTTGAACTGACTTTCGGCAGTTTCCAGCTCCTCAGCGCGAGCAAGCCATTTCTTGAGCATCTCAGTTCGCTCGCGCCCAAGCGTAGCGACATCTTTGGAATGATTTGCCCGTATGGCCTCGACAAGCTCCGATGGCAAAAGGCTTTCCAAGTGACACGGATGTTGCACCCTCAACGCCCTCGCCACGAACTCCTCCGGTTCATGGTACACGCCAAAAGTGATACTTCCTTTTTGTACTTTTGCGACCCTGGGAGGCACATCGCTAGAACCAGAAGAAGGGCCTAAGGGGAAATCCAATTTTTCTAAGAACCCTTTGTCGGCAGTCGCAAGTTTGGTCACTCCCACTGGGGTGTATGCAACGATTACTCCTCTGTCACCTCGCCACGGTTGAGTAGCATGCCAACGCTTCGGTTCAAAGATAAAGGGTCTCCCAACTGCCAAGTCGTGAAACCTCCCAGCACGTTGGGTTTTCCCGACGACCATTGCAATAGGTCCACCTGCTTCCTCGAGCCACAGTCCACCGCCAGCACAAGCGTGCGTAGCCATGACCAGGTTTTTTGTTCCTGGCTCATTGTGCAAATCTCGATGGGCTTCTGCGCGCACATTGCACAGGTAGCCCACGGCAGAGAAGCAAAAACCCGGAGCATTATCGCGAACATGCTTGCAAAGCACGGCAGTGCACCAAGGCATATCCCGCGTCAAGTTTTTGCAGCCCGTCATGGGCCCATGGGCATAGGCTCCGCACAGAAACTGATTGGACTGGTCATCACAGCTCCCCCTGGCTCTGGTCTGATGCTTTTGCGGCAACATGTCCAAGAGAGTTTGCATCTCCTCTTGGCTGAAGCGAGTGTTCCACTGTAACATGATGCAGGCAAGCTTTTCAGCAGGGTGAGCATCCTCAGGCGGAGAATGCAGGTTCGAACATGTACGGTGAAGAACACTGGCTGGCGGCGAGTCGTCTTGCCCGTCAGCCTGGCCTGCACTCAAATCGTCTGAAGCATCCTCTGAACTTTCCCCCGGCACCGTGAGGATGCGAAGGACCTTGGAACCTTGTGGCACAGACGACACGAAGCACGGGTCAACGTTTGCAGATGCAGGTACCTCCCACGGTGCAGGGAGTTTGCAGCCTACTTGAAGACCATGCATAGACGCAGCAGGGAAGCTGCCACTGACGTTGACAACATGCTTGAACTCTGGAACCAGAGGAAGGACACGCTTGTTGCTTTGCCATCCAGCCACAGCTCTGGCCGCTGCAACTGTGGCTGTTGTCTGACTCAAGTCAGTAGGCAGAGGCTTGGCCCCCATGTCAAGCAGTTGATCTTGCAGAAGCTGTGACATAGCTTTGCACAAACCCCAAGGAAAATCCAAATCACGGTCGAACTTACAGCCCACATCCTTAGACCAAAACTTATGTACATGTCCACCGGCACATGGACGATGCAACTCCAAGAATTTTGGTAGAGAGTGCAGCATTCGCATAGCCTTCTTGAATGGCGAATCGAAGCTGCAAAGGTGAAAGTGCGTTGTGAAGAGAGGAACTTCCTGAAGCAAAAGTCGCAAAGGCTTGGTAGCCCACACGAAACTTGACTCTGGATTGCTGACGCTAAATAGCACTCCGCGCTCGTGACATGTTTTGCAAGCTGCAGCCACAGCACGCAGGTAAGCATTGGCATCACTCACTTTAGTACGATCGGCTAGCCCTAACCCTGGAACTCCATCAGGATGGGCTTCGTTCCGCAGGATTGCAGGGGCTCCTGCAAATTGACGCAACCTGGCACGGCTTGTAGTATTAGAGGGCGGATAAAAATGAACATACATCAAATTTTCTTCGGTCAAAATCTCCTGGAACTGCTTGCGACCCGACTCTGTACACAAGTCAACAACAATTCGCGGTGCACAGCACTTGCCGGCTGTTCTGTCAACGGAAAAACTATTATCAAGCTGTCGCTGCTTGAGGCATGCAGTCAACCGCCCCGACCCCGGCGAGACCTCTAAGACGAGACATTCATCCAAGGAGACCCCTTTAACCCTAGCCATCACTTTTTGAAGATAAGACTCAGGCTCCGGTGCAGTCGAAGCGACTGGCTGTCACTTTCGATGCTTAGGCAACGGATGCGCCTTGAAGCAGTTTGGCTCGCAACACAGGTGCCAGCCGCGCGGACACTCCTCGCCGTCAGCAGCATTGGGACACCCATCAATGTTGTATGCCCAGCACAGCCTCTTTCCTTCGTTGGTCTCGCTGGCTTTCCCGACGAGCTGCTTCGGCATTTTGATGAATTTGGCCCCTTTAACTCCCGGCTGATCCTTGCCTTTGCCCTTGCCTTTGCCTTTGCCTTTGCCATTCTTTTTCCACTTGGTCGGCTCATCAGTCTTTTTGGCGTCATCTGTCCATTTCCGCTTGTTATCATCGATTTCTCCACCCTTCAAAGGCAACAAGTGGAAGCTGATGCTGGGATCCTGAAGAATGTTCTCAAGAGCTCGATCCAAAGGCAAAGTCCCATCGGGCTGCCGCTTGATCGAGGGAAGGCTTTCAGCAATGCGTGTGAAAGCTGCCCTGTCTGCCCTGAGCACCTGTGCCACTGAAATCTTCACGTAAGTAGGAGGTGGCAACTCCTGCAACCGATGGATCAAGGACGAGTGATACCGATTCATGGTGTCATAACTGGCGCACTTGACTAGATCAAATGCTAAGGCTCGCCGCCTCAGAGCCTGCGTAAGCTCAAGTTCAGTCCCCGTTGTGCAGGTTTGATGAGGCACCTTGTCCCTCACCGTCACGCTGTTCCCGTCTATGGTAAGCTCCTTCCCTGGCTTCTTGCCCTGAAGTTCAGACTGTCTGGTCGGGAACCTGTCTGGCCCCAAGTAAGTCAAGGAATCTGAGGACAGCATGGCGTACACCAAGTCATAAGAGGCATGGCTAGGCTCTTCTACTCCGCGATGCAAAAGGCCCGTGATCCTTGCACGCTGCTCTGTGATGCGCTCTTCCCTCGCGGCTGTGGCGAGCGTCGAAGGTGCTCCAGAGTCCCCCCTCTGAACTCGAGTTTTTAACTCTTGGACTACGAGGGTATGGGCCTCAAAGATAAGACGCTTTGCTGCAGCCATCGTCCCTGCCGTGATGGGCGCAACCCCGAAGAGCCGCTGTACCTGATCATCGCTCGGAGACTGGCCCGGCGGTACTGTTGCAAAAGCTAATTTGGAGAGCGTATCCACTCCGGTCCCCGTCATCGTGGCCACATTGGCTTGGGTCAAGCCAATCTCTTTCGCCCTTGATGCGAAAGCCGCCGTGGATTCCGTTAGCGAGCCCATGATCCCTCAGCAAGTCTCTCAGCACTGAACTACCGATCGGGAGACATGTCAAATCATGAAGTCACATGCCATGTTCACAAGGCATTCCTAACATGTATCTCCATCGTGTCCCTACTCTGTAAAAGCACTCACTCATGCTTGTTCACAAATCGTCTCAACTTGAGCAGAACTTCGAGCAATCACATAGCTCCTCAAGACCTTCGCACTCGCAAATGAACTTGACTTCCAGATGAACCTCATCTGTTCTTAAAGCGCACTTCGCTTTTCTTTCGCCCCACATGGACAAAATTCGATCACTGGTCTTTGCTTTTCATAATCTGCTGCAGCGCAGCATTCAAGCTGCCTACATCTCTAACCGGCCGTCCCGAATCACATTGCTTGCACTTTCGCAACTCAAGGAACGGCACACCACTGACTTCCACATGATCATTAGTTAGGGCCCTTCCGCATATGAAAAGCCCATCTGAACTCCCAGCACTCATGAGATGCACAACACCAGTCCTAGAGTGTTTGTACATGGTGGCCTCAGGCCTCCAGGTGCTAGGCTTGCTCGCTGGATGTCGGAAGTCTTCGCCCTTGACCCATTCGTCACCGGACTCAGGCTCCGACTCGCTCGAGCTGTCGCTCGATTCACTCTCGCAAACCTGTTCTCCGCAAGCTTCAGACCCCAATAAAGGAGTGGCAACAGCATCGACCTTCTCAAACGACTCAGTGGTCCTGCCTAACGATACCTCCTCATCAGAAGCCCCAAACGCAGGCAAACTCGGTGATGCAGCCTCATCCTCTGATACTTCGACTTTCACAATCGGACGATCAGCAAACCGTCCCGATCTGCTCAAGTCAGGCATGAACACACCTCGCCTGATGCTTCCCAACATTTCCGTGTATTTCAAGAGGGCTGGCGCAAGGTTGTCGCGCCCGTAAGAATCTAAGGATCCGTCGCCTGAGCTATGATGTCCTAAGCGCAGGCGGGTATGCCTATCCATTCCAAACTTAGAGCACCAGCTTAAAGAAGTCCCTTTGATGGCATGCGAAGTCGACGACTCAGGCACATCACAGCCGGCCTTGTCAAGTAACGCACGCATCCACTTGGTGACCTCTCCCGAATCGACACATCGTCGAGTCCAGCCCCCCTTTTGATCAGGTGCAGGAAGCACGGGTCCTACTCGGGTGGAACTAAAACCCAAACCGACATCCTCTGCAACCTTGGCCCACGTCACAGCCCATGCTGAAGATGTAACTCCTCGCGCAGGTGCAACCAAAGGCATGCTGAAACCTGTATGCGCCACAGCATTGGCAGTCTTATGGTCTCGCGTCTTGCACTCGATGAACCCTTCGCCTCCACTTGCAAGTTCACTGAAGTCAAGAAACCAACTGAATGTTTTTCTCAAATCCGACACTCGGCTCCGAGAGAAGATCCCAAACAAGATGGCACCGCAGGCGTAACGATCAAAGCTGTTAACAGATTCATCTTCAAGCAAACGTTCCAGGGCTGCAACGTATGCCACAAGCAGAACTGTGGCCTGCTTCCGCTCTGCCTTGGTCAGCTGTGCCTGACCTATGACGCCTTTACTCCAATGGCTCCACACAGTGCTTTGCTTCGGTCCTATGACTGACTCGTCGACAGCAATGCCGACAACATGTATGGCGAAATTCACGCACTCCTGGAAACTGGTGAAGGCCCCGGCAGGCCTCTTCTCGCTCTTCAGGTGCTTCAAGTATCCATCCAGATGCGAGGACTTGAAAGGGAGCAGGTCACCGCCCCTGCATTCCTTTCGCCCCCATGAGAGGTATCCCATGAGGGCCGATCCCCTTTTCATGACTGTACTGCCACTCTTTCGCCCAAAGAGCTCACGCAAAGTTTCAATTGCGTCATCAGTCTTTTGGATGGCAACTGTTTCTCCGATATATGACGAACCAGGGCACTCAGTAAGTATGACCAGCCACTTCTCAAGAGCACGTCGCCATTGAGCCTCTTCCTTTTCCTCAAAACTGTCGTAGGCCCTTGAAGAAATAGCAACCCTGAAACACTCCCCACTCTCAGGCATCTGTCGTGCGCGTTTTGCCGGTGGCTCGGCAACAAGGTCTGAAGGCTGAATGTTGGAGCTGGACACAGCAAACACGGGTACAGTATGTGCTTCGGGAGACCTGCCAAAAGCTTTGTCACTGAATCATCTTCTCCAAAGACCAAGCTCATGCTCTCCTGCTCCCAAGGCAAAGGAATGTCCACGACACTCCTACCCAGAGCAAGCACGGAGTCCCCCAAAGCATCCTTTAGCAGGCTGCTGTCAGCACAATTGACCACTTCCCTTGCAGACTCTCGATCGCGCACGCAAGCTTCTCTCTGCTCACTATCTATCTCTGAAGGCGCGAAGGCATCAAGATGCGAAGGCAAAGGCCGCCCTGTCCCTGCTTCCTCAAGCTCCTCTCCTAGGCACTCAAGATGTCTATCAAAACTCAATTCACTTTCAGCAGGCAGCGGCTTACCAGTGCACAGATCAGACTCTTCAACACCTGTGGCTTCCTGACTCTGCCCCCGTAGCTCTGAAGCCACAGGAGAAGAATCAGCATTTGCTTCCATCTGCCTCCTAAGCAGGCGTGCACGGAGCCCTTATGCCGGAAATTTTTTCTTACCCTCCCACCACCCTGTGGAGCCAACTGACGGCATAACAAAGACTCATTGAGATCCGCTCAACATGAACTGTCATGTTTCATGCTAAGAAAACTTTGATAAAAAAACTCACGCCCTAAATTTTTAGTTTGTTTGACAAACCAAAATTTTTGACACATGGGAAAATAAAGCTTCATCCGCTATTCGCGGAGTTGCGTCAAAGCGGCTGCGACATCAAGAAAAGCACCCGGCGGCTTCTTCGGGGATTCCTCAAACAAAGGCAACACGGCCTCGGCATACGCCGAACAAAGTGCATCTGGGAAAACCGCCGTCTCCAGAGAACGGAAAGACCCATCTGCAGCACGCTTGTTGTGAAAATCTGAGTGTGCATTGGGACCATGCGGACACGTGCTCTGCAACTGCTGGAGAGGCCTCCAGCTCGAGGCAAAAATCCAATGCTTGGGAGCTTGCAAGCCGAATGAACAAGCAGCGACCTGATTCAAATCCGCGGAGATTGCCAAAAGAAAAGCCTGAGTGACCGCTTCCTTCCATGACATTGCGTTGCGGGGCTGCTCCAAACTAACATGTCCACCGGACTGAAAAACTGCATGCAAAACTGCTATGGTACGGGTGAGGAGCAACCTGCTACTCTCGACCCGCGCTTGTGCGTCTGCATCATTATCTGGGAAACCATCAAGAAAATCCCAGGACCTACAAGGCTTAGGGCCACCCGGAAAAAATTTTATAATGCTGTATTCACCGCAGGGTGGAGAGCCATGGGCAAGAGCAATGGATCCTGAAAATGCCAGCCTGAGAATACGGTCAAAAGTGCTATCGCATCGCAAGTCATCTGCTTGGTGGCGCAAAATGTCCACGGGAATGCAATCGACCCCTTTGGCTGCCATCGCAGAGGAAAGAGGAGCAGTGGCTCCTGAACACAAATCAAGGAAAAACTTCCTGGACGGCGCGGCAAGTGTTGCGGGAATGCTCGGATTGGGCACTGCAGTCAGCGGCACCGAAGAAGGAGACCCTTCTGCCACGGAGACGTGTGACGCCTCACCATCAGCTGGCAGCTGATGAACGGAATTCTCAACCGGAGAAATGACAGCCTGCTGAGGCTCAGCAGATGGTGCATGACAACCGGCTGGTGGCACCTCGCACGGAAAACCAAGCTGTGTAAGCTCCGAGGTAGCAGCCTCCGACACGGAGTAGCACGTGATTGACCAGCGGGACCCTGAAAAGGCAAGGTCTTATGTCTAAGCAAACCATCAAAAATGAAAGGGTTACAAAACGTAGGCACGGCACGGCCGGCTAGCCACGAATGCGTACCTGGCACCTGTTGTGCAAGGTCCCCCTGCTCGTCCTCTATCCACAAAGCCCCGCCAGAGAACTCACCCAAGCTGAGTGTGTAATCAAGGCAACCGGCAGCATTCTTATCCATGTGCATTTCAAGAGCCCGATTGCAGTTGATAGCCATGGAGTTCCAACAGCCCGCCGGCCAGAGCTGGCGACAGAGGTGATTCAAGGAGGACACAACTTCAGGCAGCTGTTGCGTGATATGGTCAAAACATGCGGGGCTGAGGCACGAACCCCAAAATTCCAGTAGCCCGAAAAATCAGCAGCACTTCGCTGAGCCACCTGACGACACGCACTATCCGCTGGCCAAGCTGCTTGCTGAAGTATCTGCAGAAGTTGATCCAAAATGGTAGCAGCACGATGCGCTCCTTGAGCATGCGAAGTTGCACTAGGAGCAGACGACGCTTCCTCAGTGGCACTCGTATAGTTGGCAAATCCACGCGCTGCTGGCGCAGACGGATGCAAAATGGAGCCTGCCCGTTGAGGCAACTTAATGTCAACTGGAGGCTGGTCGGAAAAACACAGAATTCCTTGCATCAGCATTGCCCGCTTGAGACTGACCCAGTACCGAAGAAAAAATCGCATCGCAGGGTTTACACACCTCCGCATTTGCAACCAGAAGGTTATCATCGGTCGCATGCTCAGTCCCACAGTTGCATGCGAAGGCATACACCCAGACTCTCAATGCGGGGTGCGCTTGTGATCGGCCGGTACATGATCACCGAGACACATGCGGCCACCTGGCATGAGCACACCACACACATGCTCAAAGCGGAGCATAGGTTTTTGGAGTGTTCCGGAACCCAGGGTTCGAACTCCCGGGGGGGGGGGAGAACATATAACTCCGGAACTCAGGGTTGAACCCTGGGTTCGAACTTCTCGAACCCAGGTTGAACCTGGAGTTTGAACTCTATGTTCAAACCCTGGGTTCGGGAACTCTATGTTCGAACCCGGGGTTCGGGAACTCTATGTTCGAACCCTGGGTTCGGGAAGTCTATGTTCGAACCCGGGGTTTGGAGAACTCCACGTTCGAACCCCGGGTTCGGGAACTCCTCCCCCTTCCCAGAGAGTCCGAACCCTGGGTTCGGAACTCCATGCCCGAACCTGGGGTTTGGGGAACTCTATACCGGAACCCCGGGTTCCGGAACCCCCCCCCGTCCCCCAGGGAGTTCGAACCCTGGGTTCGAGAACTCTATGTTGGAACCCGGTGTTTGGGGAACTCTGTGTTGGAACCTCGGGTTCTGGAATTCGTCCCCCCCCTGGCGAGCCCCCCCGCTGTTTTTAGAAGCCTGCCGAAAACAAAGAAAAAGACTACCAATGACCAGTCCCTGCCACAAAAGAAGAAGAAGCCACACGAAACCACTTTATTGGGGTTTTAGCGAAGAAATAAAAGAAAGACAAAACAAAGAAAAAGATTGTCAATGACGAGGAGTCTTTCTTCTCAAGGGTCAGAAGGAATGAAGTCTCCTACGAGAATGCTAAAGGCGCGAACAAATGAACCGCCCAACCCAGGTTCTAGACTCCCCCCCAGAGTTCGAACGGGATTCGAACAGAACACCAACAATCACCAAACAAAAGGAAAAGAAGCCATAGAATCGTGGGGGGTTTTGCGATAAAATTTCTGAGAGCACACTACAATGAGAAACCGCAAACTCAACCCTTAAGCACAAGCAAAAGAGAAGAAGACACACGAAATCGCTAATCGGGTTTTTGCAAAAAAAAATAAAATGAGAGAACAAGAAGCAATAAGACAAGAGTTCGAACTCTGGGTTCGGAAACTCCATGTTCGAACTCTGGGTTCGGAAACTCAATGTTCGAAACCTGGGGACTCAACTCTTGAGGACCGCCAGAGTTCGAACTCTGGGTTCGGAAACTCTATGTTCAAACCCTGGGTTCAAACTCTTCGCCTTTCAGAGTTCAACTCCAGGTTCAACTCCAGTTCAAAGAAGTTCGGAGTTGAGTTCAACTTGGAGTTCAACTAAAAGTTCGAACCCAGGGTTCGGAGGGAACTTCGATGCTCGAACCCTGGGTTCGAGGCTTTGAACTCTTAGTTTGGAGTTCCAGAACCCTGGGTTCGGAACTCTAAATTCCAAACCTTGGGTTCGAACACCCCCCCAAAAACCTATGTTGCTCAAAGCGACAGTTGTACACTTGCCCCAGCTGGAAGTCCTGACACAGCAACCGACGGGTCTTTCCTGACTGCCAAGAAGTTCCGACGCGGTGGCCCTGCACTTGCAAATTTTTGGTGAGCGCCCTTGCCCTCCGAACCTTTCTGAGAGCTCTTATCGTCTTTCCCAAAATTGCCCAACTTGCCTTTGCCGTTGCTCTTGCGCAGACGATCCAGAAATTGTGACTTAAGTGGCACAGCACGCGGCATTTGCAGCACCTGAACCTCATTGCGAGCAACAGCAATCTCCCTAATGGATTTCATCAAGGAGCATAGGTTTTTGGAGTGTTCCGGAACCCAGGGTTCGAACTCCCGGGGGGCCCGGGGGGGGGGGGGAGAACATATAACTCCGGAACTCAGGGTTGAACCCTGGGTTCGAACTTCTCGAACCCAGGTTGAACCTGGAGTTTGAACTCTATGTTCAAACCCTGGGTTCGGGAACTCTATGTTCGAACCCGGGGTTCGGGAACTCTATGTTCGAACCCTGGGTTCGGGAACTCTATGTTCGAACCCGGGGTTTGGAGAACTCCACGTTCGAACCCCGGGTTCGGGGAACTCCTCCCCCTTCCCAGAGAGTCCGAACCCTGGGTTCGGAACTCCATGCCCGAACCTGGGGTGGGAACTCTATACCGGAACCCCGGGTTCCGGAACCCCCCTCGTCCCCCAGGGAGTTCGAACCCTGGGTTCGGGAACTCTATGTTGGAACCCGGTGTTTGGGGAACTCTGTGTTGGAACCTCGGGTTCTGGAATTCGTCCCCCCCCTGGCGAGCCCCCCCGCTGTTTTTAGAAGCTTGCCGAAAACAAAGAAAAAGACTACCAATGACCAGTCCCTGCCACAAAAGAAGAAGAAGCCACACGAAACCACTTTATCGGGGGTTTTGGCGAAGAAATAAAAGAAAGACAAAACAAAGAAAAAGATTGTCAATGACGAGGAGTCTTTCTTCTCAAGGGGGCTTCAGAAGGACATGAAGTCTCCTACGAGAATGCTAAAGGCGCGAACAAATGAACCGCCCAACCCCAGGTTCTAGACTCCCCCCCAGAGTTCGAACGGGGTTCGAACAGAACACCAACAATCACCAAACAAAAGGAAAAGAAGCCACATAGAATCGCTTTGTGGGGGGTTTTGCGAATAAAATTACTGAGAGCACACTACAATGAGAAACCACAAAAACCAACCCTTAAGCACAAGCAAAAGAGAAGAAGACACACGAAATCGCTAATCGGGTTTTTGCAAAAAAAATAAAATGAGAGAATAAGAAGCAATACAAGAGTTCGAACTCTGGGTTCGGAAACTCCATGTTCGAACTCTGGGTTCGGAAACTCAATGTTCGAAACCTGGGGACTCAACTCTTGAGGACCGCCAGAGTTCGAACTCTGGGTTCGGAAACTCTATGTTCAAACCCTGGGTTCAAACTCTTCGCCTTTCAGAGTTCAACTCCAGGTTCAACTCCAGTTCAAAGAAGTTCGGAGTTGAGTTCAACTTGGAGTTCAACTAAAAGTTCGAACCCAGGGTTCGGAGGGAACTTCGATGCTCGAACCCTGGGTTCGAGGCTTTGAACTCTTAGTTTGGAGTTCCAGAACCCTGGGTTCGGAACTCTAAATTCCAAACCTTGGGTTCGAACACCCCCCCAAAAACCTATGTTGCTCAAAGCGACAGTTGTACACTTGCCCCAGCTGGAAGTCCTGACACAGCAACCGACGGGTCTTTCCTGACTGCCAAGAAGTTCCGACGCGGTGGCCCTGCACTTGCAAATTTTTGGTGAGCGCCCTTGCCCTCCGAACCTTTCTGAGAGCTCTTATCGTCTTTCCCAAAATTGCCCAACTTGCCTTTGCCGTTGCTCTTGCGCAGACGATCCAGAAATTGTGACTTAAGTGGCACAGCACGCGGCATTTGCAGCACCTGAACCTCATTGCGAGCAACAGCAATCTCCCTAATGGATTTCATCAAGGAGCATAGGTTTTTGGAGTGTTCCGGAACCCAGGGTTCGAACTCCCGGGGGGCCCGGGGGGGGGGGGGAGAACATATAACTCCGG